AAAAATAATACAATATTAAAAATAATACAATATTAAAAATAATACAATATTAAAATCCCATCAAACAATCATGAGAAGCGGTAGTGGCAGTGAATATGTTCATTTTAAATTTTAATACAATATAACCCATTGAAACAAAAGCTCTTTTGGATTCCTCTACAATTTTTAAAAGCGGGAAAGAGTCCTGAGAGGTTTAAGAAATAATGATATAAGCATTAAATTAATTGCATTTTAGTGGAAATTCCTTCTAAGTAAGAAAAACACTGGATAGGTTAAAAATTAGAAATGTGTTGTTTATCTTTATTGTTAGTAGTTAGCTTTAATATTTTGATTTGTTTTTTTTAAACAATTTATAGAATTACTGTGAGTCAGGAGTGTATAAATTTAATAAATATTTATCTATCTAAACTTCATGCTTGTTAACTTCTTAAGAGCTAGCTTTTTTTGTACATGTGTATGTGTGTTTTTCTGTGTTATTGTAAATACATATTGTTTTAATGCAGTAATATTTGTATAGAATTGACTGGAGATGAATAACACTTTTAATATTTTAGATAACTTAGACTACTGAAGAAAAATAAATAGAGAACTAAAGAGATAACTTGGGAATTCATCTCTCACAGAAATCTTCAAATAAGTTATTAATGCAATATTTTTACAGAACCATCTGCCCAGATTTTTTTCTGGGAAAGGTACCTTGGACACCAAATGATCATTGGCAGAATTTTGGAGACTGGTTAAAGGATCGAGATCCCATGAAAGTGGACAAGTAAGATTATTTAAAAGTAAATGCAACTGATAGGTATCTGATTAAGAAAACATGTTAATTAAGCAAAGCCAGAAAGCTATTCATAATTGATAGGCCAGCAAAGAGTGGAGAGAGAAGATTGCAGCCTTGATACCTTTTAAGATAAAATAAGTTAGCTTCCCAACAGAAAAAGAAGGATCAATGTTCTTTGTTTTTTTAGGATTTTTTGTTTCCATTGGATTCACCAAAGCATACATACTTGCATACCATCATACAATGTCTTTTCAGAATAAACAACTTTGCCTTGGGCAGAGGGCTAGACTAGAAGACCTCCAAGATCCCTTCCAGCCTTCTGTGATTCTGATTCAAATGCAGGCCAATTGCTGAGCACCTTAGGTGAAGCACAGAAAAAAAGTTAAGCAGCAGTAGTAGTAAGCAAATAAATTAAGCGAAGAGAATAGGAACTATAAACCTAGTTTATACCAATTCCATTCACTCTAACAATACACCTTGGAAACTATCTGCACTTCTACCTTATCTTTGCACCAGTTCCTACATTAGAAACAGATTTATTCTTCTATGCACTCAAGGTTTTTATCTAACTTTGCAATGTTGAGAATACACTATTCACAAAAGAATGGGTACCACATAGAACCAAGCTGTGCATGTAAAAACATGTCTTGTTCTATTTTCTCATCCTTAATAAATATTATATTATGGTTGAGGTTACTGTACCTGGGCAGCAATTCATTTACTTGCTGTAATGATTCACCATTTCTTTATATACACATTCTTGTCCAACTCACTATTCAGTATTCATCTGTTCACTAAGTATTCCATTTATTCTTACATATAGCACTCTTACCATGTTTAACAACCAATCTTCAATTCCCTATTCTCATGAAATGTCCCAATCTATTCATATAATAATATTCTTTCTCTAAACTACCAATATATAATGAATGTTATTTATACAGTTCTCAGTACTGAGAAACAAAATCTTTATATGCTTTTCCTCATATAAGAGATATACAGCATTTCTCAGAGTCTTGTTTTTCTACCACTTACTTACTTTCGGTCAGAAATTTGCCAAATACACTCCCATGCATTAATAATAAGCTAATCCCCCAATAGATTTTGCATTCTTTTTTCTTTTCTGTTTGTATAACAAAGCAAAAATGCCATTATTCTAATCATTTAGAGATGTAGTCTTCACTTTAAAAAAGTTACACAGCCATTCTTTGATATACCACCCACACCTAAAGCATACAACATTCTCTCAACAATTATGACATCATTTTTATAATTACTCAACATCAACATTTATTTCAGTTCTGGAATATATAACAATCATTTCTATATATATTTCTATAATATTTCTCCCATCGTTTTTCTTCTTTATTCACTCGGCTACAGACCTCTTATTCATCTGCTTCCAAAATATTTTCTCCATCCAATTACTCTGTATTTTCTAAATCAGCCAGAGTTGGTTAGCTATTGACATCTACTGTGACCTAATGTGTGAATGGTGCTTTACTATCTATCTAAGGTTGCACATATAGGGGAAATGAAAAATGTATCTCACACTAGAGAGTTTTAATGTTACTGTTGTGTTGCAAGTTATACCTATATTTGTAGATGACTCTACATATCTCTGTGGAGCTGTACCATTTTTATTGGTGAACTGTACAACCTAATTACATGATTGGGGCAAGGATGATGCAAGCAATGTTTTCATGTAGAAAAATACTAAGTATAAATTATATAGCCACACGTACAGGTAGTTCTCGACTTACGACCACAGCTGAGCCCAACATTTCTGTTGCTAGGTGAGACATTTGTTAAGCGAATTTTGCTCCATTTTATGACCTTTCTTGTCATGGTTGTTAAGTGAATCACTGCAGTTGTTAATAACCTGGTTGTTAGTGAATCTGGCTTCCCCATTGACTTTGCTCATCAGAAGGCCACAAAAGGTGATCACATGACTCCAGGACACCGCAACCATAAATACAAGTCAGTTGCCAAGCATCTGAATTTTGATCACATGACCATGGGGATGCTGTGAAAAATGGTCATAATGCAGATTTTCCAGTGCTGTTTTAACTTTGAACGGTCACTAAATGAACTGTTGTAAGTTTTGATCTACCTGTCCCATATTGTTTTGCATGTAGAAGGAAAAGATACTGTAGTCCCATTTCTCTTCTTTCTTTCCTCCTTCTCCCTTGGCTTGCCTATACAGTATATTTATTTAATGACTTTCTTTTAACCTAGAGTGATTTTAAATCTCTCTCTCTGTCTATTGTTAAAATGCTTGTACGTAATGTGACAGAATCACCAAAGTGAACATCCACTGAACACCTCATTCGCAAGTTAAAAGTAGGCATCTTCATAAAGATTTAAAATAGTACCAAACCAAAACATTTTTTAATTATTTGATTGGAAATTCAAAAATATACATCATGCTGTTATCATTTTAACATGTCCGTAATAGTAAAATAATAGTTCAGTACTATGGCTTATCAAACAATGGATTATATCAGACACCTTTTCAAGTAAATCAATAGACCAGAAATGCTGCCAATTGTGTTTATTGCAAAACACCTTTTTTTAGATACTTTGCATTTTTTAATTCCTTTAGGTTGGAATTTGGTGGAGATAAGCAGTTAACAATAGCTAAAAGTAGCAGGCTGGGGCATGAGCGAGGCATTTCACTTGCCTTCTTCAACTCAAATTAAGCCATACCCCAGTACTGAGACAACCTATCCTTGCTTTTTGGCTCTCTGAACACAAGTAAGATTTTGGGAGCTTTCCAAAGTAAAGGACAATGCCCAGAACAACAGTAGAAAATCAACAACCAACTATCTGTAAAAGTGACTGAGCAGAGCAAAAGGACAATAAGGCTCCAGCGTTCTATTGTAGTTATGCAGTTTATAAAATTTCAATTAATGTGGGTTTCAAACTCTCTAGAACAAGGGTCTTCAAACTTGGCAGCTTTAAGACCTGTGGACTTCAACTCCCAGAATTCCTCCTCCAGTCGTGTTAGCTCAGGAATTCTGGGAGTTGAAGTCCACAAGTCTTAAACTTGTTTGAAGATCCTTGCTCTAGAATGTGATCAGTGTTTGTCATTGGTGCATTTATTTGTAAATGAGTACCAAATACAACAATAAGTTGTTCACCACGGGCATTTCATTTTAGAAAATCCATTCTAAGACTTAATTGGTAGTCTATTGTCATCCTCTTAAGAAACCAGCACCTGAGTGGATAATGTTTTATAAGAAATTGTTTTTAATAAGCAGGAAAGATACATTTTGATAACTGTGTAGTTTGTTTTAGGTACATACAAAGATGTTTTTTTTGTTTATGCTTTCATTTTCTTAGGACAGTTGATATGGTCTTAAAATATTTAAAAGAGCAGTATAACGCAACCGGGATTGGTATTGTTGGATTTTCCTGGGGTGGAATGGCTGTACATCACGTGATGCTAACAAATCCTGAATTAAAGGCTGGAGTCTCCCTCTACGGTACTGAAGAATGCTTATTAATTCTTCAATTTCTAAATATTTGAACAGTATTAAATAATTATTTGTAAAGATAAATTGCATTATATAAGTAAGACCATTTTACAAGCTGAGTGCTCTTTTTTGTCTCTCTCTCACAAACAAGGGGCATATCTGTGTATCTAATTGCCCCATTACCAGACAGGCACACAATTTCTTCTGGAAGGAAAAAAAATGAATGTTATCACCCTACTCACTATCCAAGACTTCGGGTTGCATTTTTATGCCGTATTTCACTTTTGAAGTACGCATTTATATGTTATGTCACCTTTAGGCTTTTATCCATTTCAAATAATCTGCTTCAGTTTGTTTCCGAGTAACTGCTGCAATTCATTGGACAGCTGACAGAGGAAAGATTGCTCTTTCAGCTGAGTTGGTGATCGCCCTGCTAATATTTTCTAAAGCTCCTTTAGAAAAAATACGTTCTGACATAGCCTAATGGCTCTAACTGTTGCCTTACAAATAGAAAATTGTTTAAAATCAGCTTTTAAAAATGCTTTTTTTAAAAAATTACTATTTTCTTTTCTATTTTCTATGCTTCTATACTTTTTTATTGTATGTTTTTGTAAAGTGGTAAATTATTTTTGTTCCTGGGAAGAAGGAAAATGCCTGCGATTTTATTGTGTCTGTCATTTCCACTTTTCACAGAATAATTGAAGAACATTCAATAATATGAAAAATATACATTCCCATTTTATGATTAAATATGTACATCACCACCTTATGCATGTTTACTTCTCCTAATTTCCAATAATCATACAGGTAGTCCTCAACCTGTGACCACAATTGAGTCCAAAAATTTCCAATGCTAAATAAGACAGTTGTTAAGTGAGTTTTGTCCCATTTTATGATCTTTCTTGCCACAGATATTAAGTGAAACACTACAGTTGTGACACAATTGTTAATTGAATCTGGCTTCCCCATTGACTGTGCTTGTGAGAAGGTCGCAAAAGGTAATCACATGACCTGGGGCACTGCAACCATCACAAATACAAGTCAGTTGCCAAGTGTCTGAATTTTGATCACATGACCATGGGGATGCTACCACGTTCATAACTGGGAAAAACAGTCAACGGTCACGTTTTTTTAGTGCTGTTGTAACTTTGAATAGTCACTAAAATGAATGGCTGTAAGTCAAGGACTAACTATAGATAGAATATTCTCTTGGGTTGTCTCACAATTTCTCCAGGCCATTGAGGTTGAAAAGCTTCAACCCAAGCTCTCAAAAACCTTCATAGCCCCCTTACCCAAATATTAAATAAGAAGGCTTGGCAGCAAAGGATTGGTATAGTTAGAGGATATGATTTAAATTCATATTGTGTCAAGCCAGCATGAGCACAGATATGGCCAAGAGAATATCCTATGTGTGTTTATTTGGAAGAAGTAAAGATGCAAAGATTATGTTGTACATACAGAATTATAGTCTTTGGCTAGCATATTGATATTTCTTTTCAAAAAGTGGAAATAAGAGAAGCAGTCAAAGCCCTTGTTAATTTTCTTATCTCAAGTAACAAGAATAGTTTATTCAATTTAGCCCAGCTTAATGTTATTAAAATCATTTTTCATCTATGTATGCCAAAAATATAAATAGCTTCTCACTGATTAACCCTGGCAAATAAAAATACTAGCAGATGGTCAGATAGGAAAGCTTTATAAAAGTGGTTTATTTCATGACTACATCATAAATGACAAAGACAGCTAGGTAAGTAATCATGATGACTGAAATTATTAAATTTTTGTAGATTCATTTACAAGACTTTGCATAGTACATGCTGCCTCTCCATTCTTTAGTCTGTTCCATCGGTGGTTTGATTTGTGAAGAATGTATGCCCTTTAGAAACCAAACATACACCCCAAAGTCTGTAAATATGTTTTACAACTCATGTTCTTCAAATAATTGTAGAAATAATTTTCTGAAGACCCAAAGTTTTTTTTTAATACATATCAAGCTGGTGCAGGTTTGCAATCTCTGCTTTAGTACTAGACTTACCATGAAAGGGAACTGGTATCCTGGATATACTGCATAGAAAACAATGCAGTTTATAATAGGACTGGCAGATGATATCAGGGGTGGGCTTCCAAAATTTTAGCAAAAGGTTCTCTGTCTGGTTGATGGGTGGGCATAGCTTAGTCGGCCTCCTTCACCATGGCCTCCCTGGGCTCCAGAGGCTCGCTGGAAGCCAGAAACAAGCCCATTTCCAGCCTTCCCAAACTTCCGGGAGGCTTTTTTTTAACCCTCCCCGAACTTCTGCACGTGGCCTGAACTTACCTGCATCAAAAATGGGCCATGGGGGGTGGGCGGGGCCAGCCAGGAGTTGGATTTGGGGGTTCTCCAAACTGCACAGAATCTTAACTAGGGGCTCTCCTGAACCCCTGTGAACCCCCAGCAGCTCACCCCTGGATAATATACATAATTTAGTACGTTCTAGGAATTGGGGATACTCCAGTATCATAGAAACAACAGGAACTGGCTGGCACTAAATGCTGTTTTCAAAATTAATAAATGAAGTATATATAAGATGTCCTTGGCCCTCAAGTGCACATTGAAACTGTACCAACATAAATAGCAATAGCAATAGCACTTAGACTTATATACCACTTTATAGTGCTTTACAGCCCTCTCTAAGCAGTTTACAGAGTCAGCATATTGCCCCCAACAATTTGGGTCCTCATTTTACCCACCTCAGAAGGATGGAAGGCTGAGTCAACCTTGAGCCTGGTAGGATTTGAACTGCCAAATTGTAGACAGCTGGCTGCAGAAGTAGCTTGCAGTACTGCACTCTAACCACTCCGCCACAGAGGCTCCAAATAACTGCAGAGCCACTTGAGTGGTTCAAATAACATTTTATATTTGTATTATATTTTCCAATTATATCTTAAAATGTCTGCCTCACCATCACATGACATAATAATTAAGGTAAATGGAGTATTTGTTTTCTACTTTTATTGTTTGCTTTAAAAAATGTAGTTTTAATGTAACTTCTCTTCTTTTAGGAATTATTAGAGATTCCGAAACTAGATATAATTTACTGAATCCAACCTTTTTCATTTTTGGCGAGAAAGATCATACAATTTCTCTTAAACAGGTAAATTATTATCTTCAGATTCTGAATAGTTTTATGACTGATATCACTGCAATACATTTAGAGAATGAGTGAAAATGGGGAATAAGCATTGCTGGGGATCCTTATTTTCATTTAAGGGTCATTCCAAAATATAATGAGCAGCTGCTTTTACTGTAGTATTACCAATGGGAACATTTAGCAGCAACTAATGTGATACTGGAGTCGCAGCTGAAAACAACTGTTCATCTCTGCTACATAGTGTTTATGTGGAAGAAGGGAATTCCTGCACAGAGGGAGAATCATTTGAAATCAATTTAATATTTTACTATCCGCCTGCTTTCTAGCATGGATAATAATTTGCAGGATGTTGTTGTTTTTAGTAGGGAAAGGACTATCAGTGACAAAGTGCACACTTACAAGCAGAAGATAGCTAAAATGTGCGATTTTCCCAGAAACCTCTCCTGCAGTACAAGGTGCAATTACTCCAAAGCATTTATTCTACTCATTGTGTGCTCAGAGGTATTATGCAATATCATTCCATATATGTGCCCCATTTCCAAGGACTGAAAATTCTTGACCTGTCCACACTTGATGTTCAAAATTTGGTTTGCTCAAAAAGCACGGACTAAAAAAATCTTGAAGTTTCTGTGGTATAAAGTTTACTCGTAGTCCTCTGATTAGGACTCCTCATTCAGCAACAATTCTAAATTATGATAGCACTGGATAAGGGGCAGTTATGACCGTCCTCAAAATTGCGGCCATTTCAGCATCCCACAGTCACAGGAATGCAATCTGGGCACTGGCTAACCAACTTGCAATTACCATGATTGCAGCATCCCAGCGGCCACATGACCACCATTTGCAATCTTCCCTCCTGGATCTCCACAAGTAAAGTCAATGAAGAAGCAAGTAAGAGGTTGCAAGTCATTCCTGTTGCTTTTTCTCCCAAGGAGTCCCCAGTACGGTGGTCACCAACCAGTGGGTTGGGGACCACTGATAGTCCACAAGAAAATTTTGGTGGTCTGCAGAGAAATGTCATCCCCAAAGAACACCCCCCAAGGCAATTAATCCAGGCTGCACAGGAACACAAGGCTGCGCTGGTGCAACAAGTCTCACAAAGACTCATTTCTGGCAGAATTTGGGGGAAAGAAAGAAAGACCTCTACTGTTTTTGCTACTTTCCTTGCACGAAGCCAAAAGTCTCTCTCTCCCCCACCCCCAAGAACGGAGCTGGAGAAAGTATCCTGCAATCCCAAATAAAGAATGATCAATCAGCAGGAAATGGGATGGGGAGTTTTCCTGCAGACATTTTTCGGGATTTTCCCAGCGTGTCTGATCCATGGGATTTAAAATTATGAGTTTCGTGGTCCCTGAGGTCCAAAAGGTTGGCGATCCCTGCCCTAGTAGAATGGAAAATGGAGCCTTAGTGGCGCAGTGATTAGAATGTAGTATTGCAGGCTGACTCTGCTAACGGCCAGCCGTTCAATTCCAACCAACTCAAGGCTGACTCAACCTTCCATCCTTCTGAGGTTGATAAAATGAGGACCCAGATTGTTGGGGGCAATATGCAGACATTTGTAAATCGCTTAGAGAATGCTATAAAGCACTCTGGAGCCGTATATAAGTCTAAGTGCCATTGTTATTGCTATTGCTACTCTCTAGCACCTGCCTGCCTGCACTCTGTAGTGGCCCACTTGCCCTCCACACCTCCTAGTGCTGGCCAAGAGCACCTATCTGCCTACGCAAGCTCTGAAGTGCCTGCCAATGGAACTCATCCACCTATGGGTACTCTGTAGCATCCACCTATACTCTGTAGTGCCTGCCTGCTGGCTTGCTTGACTGGGACATGGTTTCAGCATCTCTTCCCACAATACAATCATGTGAGGTTCTCATTTAACAACCTGTATAGTCCTTGCTTAACAATGTCAACAGGGACTGCCAGGATTTCCGATGTGAACTTGTGTTTATAATCACATTTCTTAGAGGTTATAGTCCCAACTGTCACTGTAACCCAAGGACTATCTGTAGTCATAGAGATTGAGACCGAGTGTTGATGTTCTATCATATTCCTGTTATAGAAGGATCCAAAATGCCATGGGATTCCATCTGCCTTTTTCAGCTCCAGCTCAGCTTGACATCTTGATACATATGTACCCCATACTTCCCAAGTGTTAGAAGAAGGAGAACCACTTCCTGGTTTCCTTTTAAAGCAGCACAATCACTGCTATTCATCATATTTTCTTGTTGAATCCTTGAATATATTGCATAATGGTCCCAGGCTGGCAATTTCATTTGGGGAATTAAATTTAAGAATTGCAAAGTTGAGAGGGGTCCCTTGAGGCATCTTGTCCAACTACACTGCTCAAAAAAATAAAGGGAACACAAAAATAAGACATCCTAGATCTGAATGAATGAAATATTCTTATTAAATACTTTGTTCATTACATAGTTGAATGTACTGACAACAAAATCACACAAAAATTATCAATGGAAATCAAATTTAACAACCCATGGAGGTCTGGATTTGGAGTTACACTCAAAATTAAAGTGGAAAAAAACACTACAGGCTGATCCAACTTTGATGTAATGTCCTTAAAACAAGTCAAAATGAGGTTCAGTAGTGTGTGTGGCCTCCATGTGCCTGTATGACCTCCTTACAACACCTGAGCATGCTCCTGATGAGGTGGCAGATGGTCTCCTGAGGGATCTCCTCCCACACCTGGACTAAAGCATCCCCCAACTCCTGGACAGTCTGTGGTGCAATGTGGCGTTGGTGAATGGAGTGAGACGTGATGTCCCAGATGTGCTCAATTGGATTCAGGTCCGGGGAACGGGCGGGCCAGTTAAAAGCATCAATGTCTTCATCTTGCAGGAACTGCTGACACACTCCAGCCACGAGGTCTAGCATTGTCGTGCATTAGGAGGAACCCAGGGCCAACCGCACCAGCATATGGTCTCACAAGGGGTCTGAGGATCTCATCTCGGTACCTAATGGCAGTCAGGCTACCTAACTCTGGCGAGGACATGGAGGGCTGTGCGGCCCCCTAAAGAAATGCCACTCCACACCATTACTGACCCACTGCCAAACCGGTCATGCTGGAAGATGTTGCAGGCAGCAGGACATTCTCTACGGGGTCTCCAGACTCTGTCACATCTGTCACATGTGCTCAGTGTGAACCTGCTTTCATTTGTGAAGAGCACAGGGCGCCAGTGGTGAATTTGCCAATCTTGGTGTTCTCTGGCAAATGCCAAACGTCCTGCACGGTGTTGGGCTGTAAGCACAACCCCCCACCTGTGGACGTCGGGCCCTCATACCACCCTCATGGAGTCTGTTTCTGACCATTTGAGCAGCCACATGCACATTTGTGGCCTGTTGGAGATCATTTTTCAGGGCTCTGGCAGTGCTCTTCCTATCTCTCCTTGTACAAAGGCGGAGGTAGCGGTCCTGATGCTGGGTTGTTGCCCTCCTACGGACTCCTCCACATCTCCTGATGTACTGGCCTGTCTCCTAGTAGCGCCTCCATGCTCTGGACACTATGCTGACAGACACAGCAAACCTTCTTGCCACAGCTCACATTGATGTGCCATCCTGGATGAGTTGCACTACCTGAGCCACTTGTGTGGGTTGTAGACTCCGTCTCATGCTACCACTAGAGTGAAAGCACTGCAAGCATTCAAAAGTGACCAAACCATCAGCCAGAAAGCATAGGAACTGAGAAGTGGTCTGTGGTCACCATCTGCAGGACCACTCCTTTATTGGGGATGTCTTGCTAACTGCCTGTGCTTTCCACCTGTTGTCTATTCCATTTGCACAACAGCATGTGAAATTGATTGTCAATCAGTGTTGCTACCAAAGTGGACAGTTTGATTTCACAGAAGTATGATTGACTTGGAGTTACATTGTGTTGTTTAAGTGCTCCCTTTATTTTTTTGAGCAGTGTACATTATCACCAGGTGCAGAAGGCATATTCCTATTTAGATATGATTTTAAAAAAGTCAGAGGTCAATGGTATTTAAAGGACTGTTGCTTAACTACACTTTAGGTAGCCTTGACTTTTAAGCAAAATTGTCCAAGAATCCAGGTTATGTGTGAACAAATAACTTAAAAGTATAATGTTAAAATTTACCATAAATATGTAACATGTATATATATATATTCTGCTACAGGTCTCTTTGCTGGAGGAAAAACTTACAGAATATTGTAATGTAAATTATAAAATTAAAGTATATCCTGGACAAGTTCATGGTTTTGCACAGTGTAAGCCTGAAGACATGAAGCCGAAAGATAAGCCATATGCCGAAGAAGCAAGAATGGATTTAATAGAATGGCTGAATAGATACATTATGTTTTAAAGCGACATATCCCATAGGCCCCTAACTTCCACAACAAAATGCCCTTTATTTGTTTAAAAAAACTTATAGTAAATATTGTAGGGTTGCCTATTAAAATCTGAAGAAGGGAAAATGCATTTGAAAGATCTGGCAATATTAACCATTGAATATCTGTCATTAATGGATTCATTATCGTATTACTCCAACGGAAAATTATACATACTCTTTCCTACGTTATATACTGTATTATCTTTGTGTAAATATATTGAGTATATTTTAGCATGTCAGCATTGATACACATAGCTTTGGGCCTTGATTCTATTATCACTACACCATCTGGGCTGCAAACATCCAAGTTTTTACTTATACCTGTTATCTTGTAAACAATTGACAAAAATAAATAAATAAATAAATAAAATTTTTCTTTCTTTGTTTGTGCTGGTCTATAGACTCACATTAGACATCACCTTGAAGACACAGACTTTGCCCCCAAAATCTTTCTTCTTGTTTTGTAATAGTTAATCAATAACAGGAATATAATAATTTATCTCTGATGCAACATAAAGCAATGCATTCAAAGTTGGGGTCCATCTCAAATTAAATTTTGTCTAATTCCAAAGCAATATGATTCTATGAATAATACAATTTGGAGGAGACCAACTTTTTAAAAAGGCACAAAGTAAAAATAAGGCATCATTTAAAAAAACAAAAACAAAGGGATGAAACGTTTGTAATTTTCTATACCTCCAAATAATAGAAAACTGAGAGTTTTGAAACTAAATAAGGAACACTTAAACTGGTGGCAGAATCTGACAATACTTAAGTAATATATATACAAGTAAACATTATTTTTTCACACTAACTTTAAGAAAGAATTTATTTTCACTACCAGGCAGGTGGAGGTATAACTAGCTATAAATTGTGGAAGTTCATTAAAAATATGCAGAGATATGAGATATGATACATATGATCTGTCAGCTCATCAGTCTAGCTTAATCAAGTTCTAACTTTCATTTACTATTTTGTTTTAAAAATATCTACTTGTTTGCAGTTTACAGTGAAAATTATAAGGAAACACTTCACAAGTAAGGTGTGAAAAAAAACAAGGTAGCAACTAAATCAAGCTTAAACCTGGTGTGAATAGCCTGCCTCCAACAATTTCTCTTCAGAAAGGCAAATACACATATTCTCGGGTTGGCAGTTTGTATTCCAAAATATTCCTCACCCATCTAAGCTCAGTGCAAATTACATTAAGATTTCCTAGAAGCTCTCTTGATCGGGCATGCTTTCTGGAGCCAGCTGAATAGTCTTAATGCACCAAAGACGAAAGATTTTCGCTTTCCAGTCTCATCCTCCAGTATTCTCTTAACTATTGAAGTTTTTATATACCCTTCCTTCTGGTTGACACCAGAAACAAAGCAGCAGCATGTTTAGCTCAGCTGTGGTTCTATTTATTTATTTATTTTATTGGTCAATAGCTTACAAGATAATATATAAGTATATATATTGTTAGGAATACATGAAATGGATACTTATAAGAAAAATAAAAAGAATCAATAGGACAGGGACGGTAGGCACGTTGGTGCGCTTATGCACACCCTCTTATAAGGAGAAGAGTTGGAGTCAGCAAAAAAAATAGTTAATTAAAATTTAAGTAAAGCAAAAAGATAAACAACCTGAAAAAAGTTAGAGTTGGTCCATAGAACTGCTGAGAATCAGACATGTTTAAATGAGTAGTGTTAAGTATGGTCGGTGGGTGCCATTAAGACACGAGGCTCGAGTAGTGAACAACAGCTCTTTATTAAGGGGGCAGATTCTGAGATGGCAAACCCAGCCGCGGCAGCCCTTTATATAGAGCCAGCTACGGCTAGGCAGCCTATGACAGTCTTTCAAGCTTGCCGTGCTTGGTTTCACCCAATCGCGGCAAGCCCTGTACAAACCAATCAGAGATGTTCATATCGTCCAATCATGGCCCAGGTTTCCCGGACCAATCGGATTGCAGGTCTACAAGCCTGCTTAGTATGGAACAAGTAGCATCAACATTGTTTCCTCCTTCAATTAAGAAAAGAAGTCAATGCAACATGAAACGGTAATTTTCTTGTCACAGCCTTGAATCTAACTGTGTTTCCATTCCATTTTTAAAGATGGGAACTTTCCACTTCCTTATTGCTAGACATAGCACAAGTTTGATAGGTAAGGCTTTCATGTTTAGTTTCAAGTTTTGCTATTATTAAAAAATAACAGCCAGAAAATAATTGGGTGCCATTTTCCTCTGCATAAGGATTCTGTGCAGAAATCTTTTGTTCTAAATGTTTCTAAATGAATCGC